CATTCTGAACCCCACCAACGATAGAATTGGGCCAAACCTCCCACAACGATAGAATTGGGCCAAACCTCCCACCCAGAACCCCCATGTGCGCCACAGCAACACATGGCAGGGGACGGCTAGCATAAAACATATAAATATAAAATATTGTTATTGTATTAATGCTGCATCGAAGATTACAAATAAATAGGACTTTCTATAGCTTTGGCACATTCCAGTTTTGGAACTTAACCTCAATGGACATATTAACAAATGTTGTTGAAGGAAAAGTCACTGGACACTCTCCTGGAAGACTGGAAACTATTTATATGTTTTTATGGATTTAATATGAATTGTTTTTAACACTAATGATGTTTAATACTGTTTTAATATTTGTATTATTTCAAATTGTATGCTGATGTTTTTATGTTAAGCCGCTTTGAATCTCCTGCTGGAGAGATAAAGCGGGGTATAAAATATAATTATAATAATTAATCTATATACCTATCTATCTCTCTATCCATCTATCTATCTATCTATATGGTGAAAGGAAGGTTTGGAAGCACAAAAAGTTAGGATACTTATTTGCAGAAGTAAACAATAAAGTGCTAAGAGCAGGCCTGGGCTAACTTTGGCCCTCCCTCCAGGTGTTTTGGACTTCAGCTCCCACAATTCCTAACAGCCTACCGGCTGTTAGGAATTGTAGGAGCTGAAGTCCAAAACACCTGGTGGGAGGGCCAAAGTTGGCCCAGGCCTGGCTTAGAGAATCAACAAGAGTCTTCTTTCCCCCTTTTGACCACGTTTCCAGAGCCAAGCTTTCAGTGGCATAAATGACCCCTTTCGTCCTAAGACTTACATTGCGGAATTTGGCCGTCCAAGTGTCCATGTGGTCAAGCAGCTGCCGGCTCATGGAGACACGGGCCCAAACCTGGACCGCAAAAGAAAGAAAAAGGGATGGGTCAAGAATTGAGAGTCGAAAGGTAGAAAGAGTTTCATAAAGAGCTTTAAGTTTCAAGGTCCTCCAGGTGTTTTGGACTTCAACTTCCACAACTCAAGGTCCTCCAAGTGTGATTTTGTGATTAGTACTGAGTGAAAGTAGACCAGAGTAGGCCCCAGCTACATATGGGAGGGAGGGAGGTGGTAGAAGAGACCTTCAAAGGACATCTAGTCTTGCCAGGCAAGAACACACAGTCGAACCCTCCCTACAGAGAGCCATCCAGTCTCAGTTCAAAAATAATCTATATAAATAAAAATGTAATGTTTGTTTGTGGGATTAACATAACTCAAAAACCACTGGACGAATTGCTGCCAAATTTGGCCACAAGACACCTACTAACCCAAGGAGTGACCATCACTCAAAAAATTGATTTTATCATTTGGGAGTTGTAGTGGCTGGGATTTATAGTTCACCTACAATCAAAGAGCATTCTGAACTTCACCAATGATGGAATTGAACCAAATGTGGCACACAGAACTCCCATGACCAACAGAAAATATTGGAAGGGTTTGGTGGGCATTGATCTTGAGTTTGGGACTTGTAGTTCACCTACATCCAAAGAGCACTGTGGACTCAAACAATGATGGATCTCGACTAAACTTGGCACGAATATTTCATATGCCCAAATATGAACACAGATGGAGTTTGGGAGAAATAGACCTTGACATTTGGGAGTTGTAGTTACTTAGATTTATAGTTCACCTACAATCAATGAGCATTATGAAACCCACGAATGACAGAATTGAGGCAAACTTCCCACACAGAACCCCCATGACCAACAGAAAATACTTAAGGCCATCCAGTCCCAACTCCCTTCACTGGGGCAAGAAGAATCAAAGAATTATAGAATCAAAGAGTTGGAAGAGACCTCATGGGCCATCCAGTCCAACCCCCTGCCAAGAAGCAGGAATATTGCATTTAAATCACCCCTGACAGATGGCCATCCAGCCTCTGTTTAAAAGCTTCCAAAGATGGAGCCTCCACCACACTCCGGGGCAGAGAGTTCCACTGCTGAACGGCTCTCACAGTCAGGAAGTTCTTCCTCATGTTCAGATGGAATCTCCTTTCTTGTAGTTTGAAGCCATTGTTCCGCGTCCTAGTCTCCAAGCAGAAAACAAGCTTGCTCCCTCCTCCCTGTGGCTTCCTCTCACATATTTATACATGGCTATCATATCTCCTCTCAGCCTTCTCTTCTTCAGGCTAAACATGCCCAGCTCCTTAAGCCGCTCCTCATAGGGCTTGTTCTCCAGACCTTGATCATTTTAGTCGCCCTCCTCTGGACACATTCCAGCTTGTCAATATCTTCTTGAATTGTGGTGCCCAGAATTGGACACAATGTTCCAGATAAAGTGGTCTAACCAGAGCAGAATAGAGCATGGGGAGCATTACTTCCTTAGATCTCGACACTAGGCTCCTCTTGATGCAGGCCAAAATCCCATTGGCTTTTTTTGCCGCCACATCACATTCCTGGCTCATGTTTAACTTGTTGTCCACGAGGACTCCAAGATCTTTTTCACACGTACTGCTCTTGAGCCAGGCATTGTCCCCCATTCTGTATCTTTGCATTTCGTTTTCTGCCAAAGTGGAGTATCTTGCATTTGTCACTGTTGAACTTCATTTTGTTAGTTTTGGCCATTCATCTCTCTAATCTGTCAAGATCGTTTTGAATTCTGCTCCTTTCCTCTGGACTATTGGCTCTCCCTCCCAATTTGGTGTCGTCTGCAAACTTGATGATCATGCCTTCTAGCCCTTCATCTAAGTCATTAATAAAGATGTTGAACAGGACCGGGCCCATTCTATGATTCTATCTCTCTCCCCGAGGGGACTCAGGGAGGATTCCAACATAACAAAGGTAAACATTCTGTGACTACATAAAACACACAATACTAACATAAAATCCCAGAAAAACCCCACATATAAAAGTAACATTAAAACCTAACATCAAATTAAAACCTAACATCAGTAAATTAAACCTGACATCAAAAATTAAACTACATATAATCAGCAAAAAATCTAAAATAACATTAATCTAAACAAAACAGCTACATTATTTATTTATTCAAAACATTTATATTCTGCCCTTCTCACCCTGCAAGGGTCAGGGCAGAGAACAACATATATACGGCAACCATTCAATGCCGGGACATAAAAACATAAATATATACCAACATTAGTGTAGTCACTGGGTTGTTGTAGTCTTTTTCGGGCTATATGGCCATGTTCTAGAGGCATTCTCTCCTGATGTTTCACCTGCATCTATGGCAAGCATCCTCAGAGGTAGTGAGGTCTGTTGGAACTAGGAAAAAGGGTTTATATATCTGTGGAATGACCAGGGTGGGACAAAGGACTCTTGTCTGCTGGAGCTAGGTGTGAATGTTTCAACTGACCACCTTGATTAGCATCTGATTGCCTGGCAGTGCCTGGAGCAAACTTTTGTTGAGAGGTGATTAGATGTCCTTGTTTGTTTCCTCTCTGTTGTTGTGCTGTTGTAATTTTAGAGTCTTTTTAATACTGGTAGCCAGATTTTGTTCATTTTCATGGTTTCCTCCTTTCTGTTGAAATTGTCCACATGCTAGTGTATTTCAGTGGCTTCTCTGTGTAGTCTGACATGGTGGTTGTGAGAGTGGTCCAGCATTTCTGTGTTCTCAAATAATATGCTGTGTCCAGGTTGGTTCATCAGGTGCTCTGCTATGGCTGACTTCTCTGGTTGAAGTAGTCTGCAGTGCCTTTCATGTTCCTTGTTTCGTGTTTGGGCAATGCTGTGTTTGGTGGTCCTCTGTAGACTTGTCCACAGCTGCATGGTACACGGTAGACTCCTGCAGAATTGAGAGGATCCCTCTTGTCCTTTGCTGAACATAGCATTGGTTGGATTTTCCTGGTGGGTCTGTAGATAATTTGTATGTTGTGTTTCCTCATCAGCTTCCCTCTGCGGTCAGTGGTTCCCTTGATGTCTGGCAAGAACACTTTTCCTCGGGGTGGATCTTCGTCTTTATTCTCGTGGCTTGTTCTCGGTTTTGTAAGTCTACAGAGGGACCACCAAACGCAGCGTTGCCCAAACACGAATCAAGGAACATGAAAGGCACTGCAGACTACTTCAACCAGAGAAGTCAGCCATAGCAGAGCACCTGATGAACCAACCTGGACACAGCATTTTATTTGAGAACACAGAAATGCTGGACCACTCTCACAACCCCCATGTCAGGCTACACAGAGAAGCCATTGAAATCCACAAGCATGTGGACAATTTCAACAGAAAGGAGGAAACCATGAAAATGAACAAAATCTGGCTACCAGTATTAAAAACTCTAAAATTACAACAGCAAAACAACAGAGAGGAAACAAACAAGGACATCTAATCACCTCTCAACAAAGGATTGCCCCAGGCACTGTCAGGCCAATATATGCTAATCAAGGTGGTCAGTTGAAACATTCACACCTAGCTCCAGCAGACAAGAGTCCTTTGTCCCACCCTGGTCATTCCACAGATATATAAACTTTTTCCTAGTTCCAACAGACCTCTCAACCTCTGAGGATGTTTGCCACAGATGCAAGTGAAACGTCAGGAGAGAATGCCTCTAGACCATGGCCATATAGCCTGAAAAAACCTATTACAACCCAGTGATTCCGGCCATGAAAGCCTTCGACAATACATTACTGTAGTCAGATGAGGTCATTGGGCTGGTGTGGACCAGAAAAGCCCAAATAGTTCTCAGCCAGAGAAGGCCTATGCAGTGATCTCTCAACCATCTAATCCACTGGAAGGGACCCCCAAAGGGCATCTAGTCCCTCCCCCTTCAGACAAACAGGACGACAACTGGTTGAATCCCTTCAGAAGTGGAGTGCTGGTGCTGTTCAAGCGTAGCTACTGTCACAACTTTTATAATTTTGGACAATCTATTGCACAATGGCAATAATTCTACTCAATAGACAGCTCACCTCCTCTGCCGCCTGCTTGGAGCTGAGGTCGGCCTCGTCCTTGTGGGCCGAAGGGGTCTGGGAGCGGCAGGCTGGCTGGTACTGGAATTTCCGCAGCATCTGTGCGCCGTCGGCCACGGAGCGGCTGTAGCTCCAAAAGCTCGGGCTGCTGGATGGGGAACTGGAGTCGGAGCTCCCTGCAAAGGGTGGGATTGGAAAAGACGCAGAAGTGAGGCTGGCAGGACTCGAGGGAGACCAGTAAAGAGTCAAACACAATCATCCCAAAAGAAAATGAAGGAGAAATACAATTTCTAGATATCTTAGTCACCTGCAAACCAAATCAACAATTGGTCCTCACAATATACAGAAAACTCACACGCACACGGATAGATAGCTACATAAAAACTTCAATCATAATCCAGGACAAAAAAGGAACACAATCAAAACTCTGGTGGATCGTGCAAACAGAATCTGTGAACCCCACCTCCTTCCAATGTTGGGTTGCAAATTTCGTTACTCTAGGTGTATTGTTGTCATGTTCTGGTGTTCAATGTTTGCTTTTTATGTTTGGAATCCACCCTGAGTCTCTCTGGGGAGATAATAATAATAATAACAACAACAACTTTGTCTTTATTATTAGTACTATTATTATTTAGTACTCTGTGAATTCCGGATTCAGACAGACAAAGTTTTGGAGCACAATACTCCTGACCTCACAATCATGTTAAAGAACAAAGTATGGATTGTCGATGTCGCAATCCCAGGCAACAGCAGAATTGAAGAGAAACAACTGGAAAAGCTGACACGATATGAGGAGTTAAAGATCAAACTGCAAAACTCTGGCACAAGCCAGTCAAGGTGGTCCCAGTGGTGATCGGCACATTGGTTACAGTGCCTAAAGACCTTGGCCTGCACTTAAACACAATCGG